GTTCGAGTCACTTCTGGGGTGTGAGTTTTCAGTTGCATATGTCCTGGGGACCATTCAGGCTTGTTCGCATTTGTGTTCCTCACGTGTTGCCCCAAAGAATGAGGTGATTTGGTAAAATGCTATGCCCAAGATAACTATCCGAGTGCCGGCGGTGGGGTGGTTCAAATAGCCTCGGCTATCACCTCATTATGTCCGGTCGTGATGGTCAAGTGGATTAAGGCGTCTTGTACATACCAGATGCGTTGCTTCTGGGAGTATGGGTTCGAGTCACTTCTGGGGTGTGAGTTTTCAGTTGCATATGTCCTGGGGACCATTCAGGCTTGTTCGCATTTGTGTTCCTCACGTGTTGCCCCAAAGAATGAGGTGATTTGGTAAAATGCTATGCCCAAGATAACTATCCGAGTGCCGGCGGTGGGGTGGTTCAAATAGCCTCGGCTATCACCTCATTATGTCCGGTCGTGATGGTCAAGTGGATTAAGGCGTCTTGTACATACCAGATGCGTTGCTTCTGGGAGTATGGGTTCGAGTCACTTCTGGGGTGTGAGTTTTCAGTTGCATATGTCCTGGGGACCATTCAGGCTTGTTCGCATAATGAGGTGATTTGGTAAAATGCTATGCCCAAGATAACTATCCGAGTGCCGGCGGTGGGGTGGTTCAAATAGCCTCGGCTATCACCTCATTATGTCCGGTCGTGATGGTCAAGTGGATTAAGGCGTCTTGTACATACCAGATGCGTTGCTTCTGGGAGTATGGGTTCGAGTCACTTCTGGGGTGTGAGTTTTCAGTTGCATATGTCCTGGGGACCATTCAGGCTTGTTCGCATTTGTGTTCCTCACGTGTTGCCCCAAAGAATGAGGTGATTTGGTAAAATGCTATGCCCAAGATAACTATCCGAGTGCCGGCGGTGGGGTGGTTCAAATAGCCTCGGCTATCACCTCATTATGTCCGGTCGTGATGGTCAAGTGGATTAAGGCGTCTTGTACATACCAGATGCGTTGCTTCTGGGAGTATGGGTTCGAGTCACTTCTGGGGTGTGAGTTTTCAGATACATATCAATAATCTTTTTATATAAGTGATTCAACAAGAGGCTCACAACAGTCACTATACAAGGCACTTTACATCTATGGTGAGTCAGACAGTTACTAGTCTTGCTCCACACCCACCCAACTGGGCGGCAGCCTTACAGTCATGTGCAGGCAGCACCTTACAGTATGTACATTACAACCATTAGAAATATTGCCGATACAAAAGTGTACATGTTAAAGTGAAAGTTAGACACTTCTGAAAAAATTGCCGGACCAACCAGGTTGTAGTGAATATGTGGGCCTGTGGGCCACTCAGAGCAGCAGCCTGTTGGGCCAAGCTATCATGAGTCAAGTCTGAGCCCAAACTGGGCTTGGGGAGAAGAACAAATCCCAGAGCCCCCTCCACGTATACTCCAGGTATGTTCAGGTATGCCTCAGGTATACTTCAGATATACCCAGTGTCTCCCTCACCCTCCCTGTCTGGAAGGTTGCCAGCTGCTATGGAAATCAGGATGAGAAGTTAATTATCTCTTAGGAATCACGAGGTAAACACTAGACCAATGAGTAAAAGAATTTCAGTCAGTTCAAGCTTGGCAGAGTTTTGGGGCGGGGAGGCAGGCGGACGGGCGGGGTAGGCAGGCGTGGGGAGGCGGGCGGGCGGGGAGGCAGGCGGGCGGGTGGGCGGGGAGGCAGACGTGGGGAGGCAGACGGGCGGGCGGGGAGGCAGGCGGGCGGGCGGGCGGGCGGGGAGGCAGGCAGGCGGGCGGGCGGGCGGGCGGGGAGGCAGGCAGGCGGGCGGGCGGCGAGGCAGGCAGGCAGGCGGGCGGGCGGGCGGGGAGGCAGGTGGGCAGACAGACAGGCAGGCAGGCGAGCGACATATCCTGAGAGAAGGACAGTATCTGCAGACAATTTCTAACCGTTTCCTTTCGGTATAACAGGTCTTGACAGTATAGGTAAACCGAGAGACAGGAGCCGAGCGTCCATATCCGAACACTTCACCAGGGGTGTGAGGGGGGAAATGATGGTCCTATATCCGAACACTACGCCAGGTGAAGGTATTACGGGCTCACCATAGCCCGTGCTACATGGACACTTCGTTCTGAGTAGCTAAATCTGAAACAACAGGTGAAGGTAGATGTCCCCATGTCCGAACGCTAATATGCTCCTCATTGCTGGAATGAAGGGCAAGAAGGAAGGTTATATAAGGAAGATTAGGAAAAAGAGAGATGAGTGGATGAAAAAGGAGAATAGGCACCGGAGGAGAAACTGGGATGGACAAGATATATATAGAGAGGAAAGGTTATGGATACATTGAATTAATTGGCACTCCTGGAAATTGGTAGATCAGAAAATTAGCCCATCCTCCTGTTTTGTAGTACTTTTGGTAACTGTGTGGTCGAGAGTACCAATATGTAGTAATGGCGCGCCAATAAGCCACTTTTTGTACTAATTTTGTATAGATTCTGGAAACAAGCAAAAAAAAAACGTGAATATTCCTAGGCCTAATGTAGCACATGTGTATTATATTAGGCATCTGACATCTTGTATTAGGCTTAGGATTGCTTGGAAAGGTTAGGTCTCATTTATTTTGCTAATAAAAACTTTTTTTTTTTTTTTTTTTTTTTTTTTGCAAATTCAGTATTAGAAAAGTCTACTTTCCGGTGGTCCATAACGATATATTTGTACTTTTCACGACATCGTTACTGTAAGTACTTTCATTTTAGGAGGATAGACTGCAGAAAATTAACAGTTCAGGGCTCTGGCTTCAGCTAGGAAGCCAGACTACGGGTTACAGTACAATATCCACCACAGAGGACTGTGGTAATGCTTCTGTGGTGGATATTATGGCCACAAATTATGATACACAATTTATATTTTCACTCCAAGGCAACTATTGTAAATTGTCGGGGTTTAGAATCGAAGAGAATATGAATTAGTGTTATAAAAGTAATTGAACAAATCCAGTTAAACCAGCATGAAACTGTTGATTGTTGAACGCCTCATGTTGTCATTACTCTCTCACTGGAAAGGTAAAGTGAATATTTGTGTATGTACTGCCAGTAATTTTGTTTTATGGCGTCGCTGAAATTGTTTATGAATATTATCACCCCTTCACTTAACTCCAGTCAACACAGTAACATGCGGATCATCTACTGTGAAGAGCTCAGTCCCCCAAGGTACAGTACTTCATCAGGTATTTTTTCTCATCCTAATATCAGACACAGACAAGGATACAAAACTACACCACTGTATCATTTGCAGTGATGACACTAGGATTGTCACGCGAGTAGACAATATAGAGGACACGGCAAACCTCCAATTGGATGTAAATCGGGCCTTTCAATGGGCCACAGATAATAATATGATGTTTAATGAAAATACGTTCCAGCTCCAGCGCTATGGAAAAAATTAAAATTTAAAAACATAAACCATATATAAAACGGAATCAAATCTCACTATAGAACGAAAAAGCAACGTAAAGGATGTAGGAGTAATCATGTCAGAAGACTTTACCTTTACAGAACACCATAAAGTAGCTGTCACGACTGCAAGAAAAATGACAGGTTGGATAACAAGGACCTTCCAAACAAGGGACGCCATACCAATGATGATACTTTTCAAGACACTAGAGCTCTCTAGGGTGGAATATTGTTGCATTCTAACAGCCCCATTCAGAGCCGGAGTGGCCAGCCGGCTGGCCTGGAGTGTGTGAAAAATATTAGAGGGACGGGTTCAAAATCTTCATACGGGAATAACACCACATGAGACCAGAGGGCATGGCAGGATGTGCAGAATATCTCCGTTGAAGAGCAGAGGTGCAACAGGTACTCTGAGAGAGAACTATCAACATCAGAGGCCCGAGACTGTTCAACACGCTTCCACTACACATAAGGGACATTACTGGCCGACCCCTCACAGTGTTCAATTTGACAAACACCTCCAAAGAATACCTGACCAACCAGGCTATGATTCATACGTCAGGCTGCGAGCAGCCGCGTCCAACAGCCTGGATGACCAGACCAGCAACCAGGAGGCCTGGTCGGAGACTGGGTTTTGGGGACTTTGATCCTCGAAATTCCAACAAGGTAAGTAGACGGGTAGAGCAGTGTGGATGTGCAGTGTGAGCCTTGTGTGGGCGTGTAGTGTGTGGGCGTGTAGTGTGTGGGCGTGTAGTGTGTGCATGCGCGCAGTTTGGGCATGTAGTGTTTACAATGCGTGTAGTAGCACTGCCGCCATTCACTTCAGACCCCCACCAGTAATAACAGGAGAGGCCTCACATCCTCTTGGGTGCTGCCAGTCCCCAACACACAGGTGCACATTCAACCACAATTGCATAGTAAATACAGCAACACACACAGGTGCTTACACTTAACAATCACAAACTACCGAAGAAAATGTTGGTGGCAGCGGTGGGATCAACTCAGTGAGATAAATTCCATCACTCCTAGGAGTCAGCGAGAGGTCATCCATCATTCCTATGTAATGTGAGCCTCTGATGTTGATAATTCTCTCTCAGAGTACCTGTTGCACCTCTGCTCTTCAACGGGGGTATTCTGCACATCCTGCCATGCCTTCTGGTCTCATGTGATGTTATTTCTGTGTGCTGCTTTAGGACCAGCCCCTCTAATATTTTGGTCACATTTGTTGAAAGCTTTTGCAAAAAGTCTGTGTATAAATTACATCTGCGTTTTGCTTGTCTTCCACGGCCCTTAAGGCCACGTCATAGTGCTCTAGAAGTTGTAAGAGGCAGGGGCGCCCTGAACCTACACGACTACAAGCGCTGCTCGCCGCCCAAGACGGCGCCACTACAAGGTACTCACACACTTCTGGAAGTAGCAAACGTAAGAAAGTAGAGGTAACTATAGAGATAAAATGGTCTTAAGCGGAGTAGTTTAATGATACTTCTCTAAAGTCTCGGAATAATGGTAGAAAACAAGTCTTTGGTAAACCAATTAGCAGAATAACGGAGAGGATTTACCCTTCTGTTTTAAAATGGTGAGTGAGAGACGGGAGGGATACAGAGTGCGGCGAGGGAGGGCGGGGTACAGTGGGCGGCGAGGGAGGGCGGGGTACAGTGGGCGGCGAGGGAGGGCGGGGTACAGTGGGCGGCGAGGGAGGGCGGGGTACAGTGGGCGGCGAGGGAGGGCGGGGTACAGTGGGCGGCGAGGGAGGGCGGGGTACAGTGGGCGGCGAGGGAGGGCGGGGTACAGTGGGCGGCGAGGGAGGGCGGGGGTGGGCGGCGAGGGAGGGCGGGGTACAGTGGGCGGCGAGGGAGGGCGGGGTACAGTGGGCGGCGTGGGAGGGCGGCGAGGGAGGGCTGGGCGGCGAGGGAAGTGGTTGACAACGGCTATGCTGCTCGTGATGCCGCCCACCCTGCCTGAGCCGCCCGCCCGCCCACAGCCGTTTACTTGTGACTGTTCTCTGATAAAACGCCGCTGTGATTTATGCGTCAAGGCATATCTGATGGTTCCTGTGAGAGTGGTGGTGAGAGGGGCGTGGGGGTGGTGGTGAGAGGGGCGTGAGAGGGTGGTGGTGAGAGGGGCGTGGGGGTGGTGGTGAGAGGGGCGTGGGGGTGGTGGTGAGAGGGGCGTGGGGGTGGTGGTGAGAGGGGCGTGAGAGGGTGGTGGTGAGAGGGGCGTGAGAGGGTGGTGGTGAGAGGGGCGTGGGGGTGGTGGTGAGAGGGGCGTGGGGGTGGTGGTGAGAGGGGCGTGGGGGTGGTGGTGAGAGGGGCGTGAGAGGGTGGTGGTGAGAGGGGCGTGGGGGTGGTGGTGAGAGGGGCGTGGGGGTGGTGGTGAGAGGGGGCGTGGGGGTGGTGGTGAGAGGGGCGTGGGGGTGGTGGTGAGAGGGGCGTGGGGGTGGTGGTGAGAGGGGCGTGGGGGTGGTGGTGAGAGGGGCGTGGGGGGTGGTCGTGAGAGGGGCGTGGGGGTGTTATCTAAACCATACCTGGAGTGGGTTCGACTTGAGAGCTTGGTCCAACAGGCTATTGTCTGGAGCGGACCTCAGGCCCACATATCCACTACAGCCTGGTTGGTCCGGTACTTTTTGCAAGAATTTGTCTGAAGTGCTTCTTGAAGACTCTTACCATTGTTCCAGAAATATTTCTAATGCCTGCTGGGAGGGTGTTGTGGTTGTGGACCTCTGATGTTCAGACATCACATGGTCGGTGCTCACTTTCCCTGTCAGAGCGGGAGAGATCTCTGAATTACAGGCAATACAGAGAACATATACGACACGCTTAGAAACAATAAAACATCTAAATTATTTGGACCGTCTTAAAGCTCTCAAAATGTACTCACTGGAAAGGAGACGAGAAAGTTATCAAATAATATATACATGGAACATACTGGAAGGTCAGGTCCCAAATTTGCACAGAAGAATTTCAACATACTGGAGTGAAAAGTACGGAAGGAAATGCAGAATAGAACCAGTGAAGAGTAGAGGTGCCATAGGCACAACCAGAGAACACTGTCTGAACATGAGAGGTCCACAGCTGATCAACACCCTCCCAGCAGGCAATAGAAATATTGCCGGAAAAAAATGTGGATGTCTTCAAGAACAAATTAGATAAGTTCTTGCAGGAAGTTCCGGACCAACCAGGCTGTAGTTGATATGTGGGCCTACGGACAGCTGCAAGCAACAGCCTGCTGGACCAAGTTATCACAAGTCAAGCCTGGCCTCAGGCCTGGCTCATGGAGTAGAACTCCCGAGACCCTCTACAGGTAAGGTCCGCTTCTCTCCTGCATCTCTTTACAGTTCGGTTCGAATATTTGTTTAAGTATTTAATTAATATTATTCCCGTTCACACTGTTAATAGATATTCTATTAGTTTTAACACGTATAGTAATATCAAATATACAGTTTTCAAGCCCAATATGTCAGCTGGAAAGCTTAATAGCAATTTCTGAACGTTTGCGTTATTAATTTCAAAAGAATTAACTTTTTTTGTTACCCAAATGTTTTGACGCATGCGCGCTCAAGACCTGGTGACACTTGGTCTCAAGTTGGCGCCAGACAGGACCTGGCGCCAAATTTACAACGTCCTGGGTATTGTGTGTCTGTATTCTGTATTAATCCCAGTATACCCATTCCTTACAATGTCACCTGCGTCTGCACCATAATGCCTGATTTGACGAAGAATACAACCGACATTGTTAACTTGTAAGACAACAGACACAACAACGCTGACAGGCGAGGCATAAACACCTCACCAGACCCATAGTCACTCTTACGTCAACAAGGCTTATTGTCACAGTCAAATTCTTGAATTTTTGAGCGTCAGTTACGATTTTTTTTTTTAAATATAGGCCTGATAAATCTTCACCCGAGATTACGCCAGTCAAAATATTTGAAGGCCCTTACACCATCTTGGCGGGAATGTTACTGTTTATGCCCCTGCACACGCCCGTAAGTGACCGATTAGGCCTGCAGGGTTTGATAGGCCTATTCTTTAAAATTTCTGTCATCTTGACTGAATTGTTTAATACAACAGATGATATAGTGGACGCTTTGACACTCTAAATTGAAAACCGAAATTGTCGAGGAGAGGGGAGAAGGGGGTGGAGGGAGGGGTTGGGGGGGGGGAGATCACAGGATAACACGTTGTTAATCCAACCTCTCCTCCCCTCTCCCCCACTCCTCTTCTCCCCTCACCCCCCACCCCAATCCCTCTACTTCCCTCACCCCCACCCCTCTACTTCCCTCACCCCCACCCCTCTACTTCCCTCACCCCCACCCCTCTACTTTCACCCCACCCCCACTCCCCTCACCCCTACCCCTCCTCCCCTCACCCCCACCCCTCTCCCCCACCCCTCTACTTCCCTCACCCCCACCCCTCTACTTCCCTACCCCTACCCCTCTACTCCCCTCACCCCCACCCCTCTACTCCCTCACCTCATCCCTCTACTCCCCTCACCCCTATCCCTCTACTTCCCTCACCCCCACCCCTCTACTTCCCTCACCCCCACCCCTCTACTCCCCTCACCCCCACTGATTACATTATGGGTTTAATAATCCTGAAAATATGACAGCTGGTGTAGGAAGGAGGGGCCGGATGGGGGACAGGATTGAATGGAGCCGGACAGTGGGTGCCGGAGATCGGGTGGTTATCTTGAGATGATTTCGGGGCTATAGTGTCCCCGCGGCCCGGTCCTCGACCAGGCCTCCACCCCCAGGAAGCAGCCCGTGACAGCTGATTAACACCCAGGTACCTATTTTACTGCTAGGTAACAGGGGCATAGGGTGAAAGAAACTCTGCCCATTGTTTCTCGCCGGCGCCCGGGATCGAACCCGGGACCACAGGATCACAAGTCCAGCGTGCTGTCCGCTCGGCCGACCGGCTCCCACCCTGGGTGCCTGACAGTGGGTGCCTGACAGTGGGTGCCTGACAGTGGGTGCCTGACAGTGGGTGCCTGACAGCGGGTGCCTGACAGCGGGTGCCTGACAGCGGGGTGACAGCTGACAGCGGGTGCCTGACAGCGGGTGCCTGACAGCGGGTGCCTGACAGCGGGTGCCTGACAGCGGGTGCCTGACAGCGGGTGCCTGACAGCGGGTGCCTGACAGCGGGTGCCTGACAGCGGGAGCCTGACAGTGGGTGCCGGACAGCGGGTGCCGGACAGTGGGTGCCTGACAGTGGGTGCCTGACAGTGGGTGCCTGACAGTGGGTGCCTGACAGTGGGTGCCTGACAGCGGGTGCCTGACAGCGGGTGCCTGACAGCGGGTGCCTGACAGCGGGAGCCTGACAGCGGGTGCCTGACAGTGGGTGCCGGACAGCGGGTGCCTGACAGCGGGTGCCTGACAGCGGGTGCCTGACAGCGGGAGCCTGACAGTGGGTGCCGGACAGCGGGTGCCTGACAGCGGGTGCCGGACAGCGGGTGCCGGACAGCGGGTGCCGGACAGCGGGTGCCGGACAGTGGGTGCCGGACAGCGGGAGCCTGACAGTGGGTGCCGGACAGGTTGTGCCGGACAGCGGGTGCCGGACAGCGGGTGCCGGACAGCGGGTGCCGGACAGTGGGTGCCGGACAGCGGGAGCCTGACAGTGGGTGCCTGACAGTGGGTGCCGGACAGCGGGTGCCGGACAGCGGGTGCCGGACAGCGGGTGCCTGACAGCGGGTGCCTGACAGTGGGTGCCTGACAGTGGGTGCCTGACAGCGGGTGCCTGACAGCGGGTGCCCGACAGCGGGTGCCTGACAGCGGGTGCCGGACAGTGGGTGCCGGACAGCGGGTGCCTGACAGCGGGTGCCTGACAGTGGGTGCCTGACAGCGGGTGCCTGACAGCGGGTGTGCCTGACAGCGGGTGCCGGACAGTGGGTGCCGGACAGGGGGTGCCGGACAGCGGGTGCCGGACAGCGGGTGCCGGACAGCGGGTGCCCGACAGTGGGTGCCTGACAGTGGGTGCCTGACAGTGGGTGCCTGACAGTGGGTGCCGGACAGCGGGTGCCTGACAGCGGGTGCCTGACAGCGGGTGCCTGACAGCGGGTGCCTGACAGCGGGTGCCGGACAGCGGGTGCCGGACAGCGGGTGCCGGACAGCGGGTGCCGGGTGCCGGACAGCGGGTGCCGGACAGCGGGTGCCGGACAGCGGGTGCCTGACAGCGGGTGCCTGACAGCGGGTGCCTGACAGTGGGTGCCGGACAGCGGGTGCCTGACAGCGGGTGCCTGACAGCGGGAGCCTGACAGCGGGTGCCGGACGGCGGGTGCCTGACAGTGGGTGCCTGACAGCGGGTGCCTGACAGCGGGTGCCTAACAGTGGGTGCCGGACAGCTGGTGCCTGACAGTGGGTGCCTGACAGCGGGTGCCGGACAGCGGGTGCCTGACAGCGGGTGCCTGACAGCGGGAGCCTGACAGCGGGTGCCGGACAGCGGGTGCCGGACAGCGGGTGCCTGACAGTGGGTGCCGGACAGCGGGTGCCTGACAGCGGGTGCCTGACAGCGGGTGCCTGACAGCGGGTGCCTGACAGCGGGTGCCTGACAGCGGGTGCCTGACAGCGGGTGCCGGGTGCAGCAGACTGCCTCTCGCGGTCACTAGACGAAGATAAACGAGGCCAGATATTAGTTTTTCCAAGTCTCGCGCCGGATCCCATGAATTTAATATTAACCAATTATTCAAAGCGATTGATCAAATTGATAAGAGTTGAATATGAATGTTGGTCCTTGGTGTTGGGGGTAGAGGAGCGCTGGGAGTTGGGGGAGGGGTAGTGTGGGGGGCAGAGGTGGAGTATAGAGCTGGTGGAGGGGTAGTGTGGGAGGCAGAGGTGGAGTATAGAGTGGGGGAGGGGGGGTAGTGTGGGTGGCAGAGGTGGAGTATAGAGCTGGTGGAGGGGTAGTGTGGGTGACAGAGGTGGAGTATAGAGCTGGTGGAGGGGTAGTGTGGGGGACAGAGGTGGAGTATAGAGCTAGTGGAGGGGTAGTGTGGGTGACAGAGGTGGAGTATAGAGCTGGTGGAGGGGTAGTGTGGGTGGCAGAGGTGGAGTATAGAGCTGGAGGGAGGGGTAGTGTGGGGGACAGAGGTGGAGTATAGAGCTGGTGGAGGGGTAGTGTGGGGGACAGAGGTGGAGTATAGAGCTGGTGGAGGGGTAGTGTGGGGGACAGAGGTGGAGTATAGAGCTGGTGGAGGGGTAGTGTGGGTGGCAGAGGTGGAGTATAGAGTTGGGGGAGGGGTAGTGTGGGGGACAGAGGTGGAGTATAGAGCTGGTGGAGGGGTAGTGTGGGGGACAGAGGTGGAGTATAGAGCTGGTGGAGGGGTAGTGTGGGGGACAGAGGTGGAGTATAGAGCTGGTGGAGGGGTAGTGTGGGTGGCAGAGGTGGAGTATAGAGCTGGTGGAGGGGTAGTGTGGGTGACAGAGGTGGAGTATAGAGCTGGTGGAGGGGTAGTGTGGGGGACAGAGGTGGAGTATAGAGCTGGTGGAGGGGTAGTGTGGGTGACAGAGGTGGAGTATAGAGCTGGTGGAGGGGTAGTGTGGGGGACAGAGGTGGAGTATAGAGCTGGTGGAGGGGTAGTGTGGGGGGCAGAGGTGGAGTATAGAGCTGGTGGAGGGGTAGTGTGGGGACAGAGGGGAGTATAGAGCTGGTGGAGGGGTAGTGTGGGGGACAGAGGTGGAGTATAGAGCTGGTGGAGGGGTAGTGTGGGGGACAGAGGTGGAGTATAGAGCTGGTGGAGGGGTAGTGTGGGGGACAGAGGTGGAGTATAGAGCTGGTGGAGGGGTAGTGTGGGTGGCAGAGGTGGAGTATAGAGCTGGTGGAGGGGGTAGTAGTGGGGGACAGAGGTGGAGTATAGAGCTGGTGGAGGGGTAGTGTGGGGGACAGAGGTGGAGTATAGAGCTGGTGGAGGGGTAGTGTGGGGGACAGAGGTGGAGTATAGAGCTGGTGGAGGGGTAGTGTGGGGGACAGAGGTGGAGTATAGAGCTGGTGGAGGGGTAGTGTGGGGGACAGAGGTGGAGTATAGAGCTGGTGGAGGGGTAGTGTGGGTGACAGAGGTGGAGTATAGAGCTGGTGGAGGGGTAGTGTGGGGGACAGAGGTGGAGTATAGAGCTGGTGGAGGGGTAGTGTGGGGGACAGAGGTGGAGTATAGAGCTGGTGGAGGGGTAGTGTGGGTGACAGAGGTGGAGTATAGAGCTGGTGGAGGGGTAGTGTGGGGGACAGAGGTGGAGTATAGAGCTGGTGGAGGGGTAGTGTGGGGGACAGAGGTGGAGTATAGAGCTGGTGGAGGGGTAGTGTGGGTGACAGAGGTGGAGTAGTGTGGGGGACAGAGGTGGAGTATAGAGCTGGTGGAGGGGTAGTGTGGGGGACAGAGGTGGAGTATAGAGCTGGTGGAGGGGTAGTGTGGGGGACAGAGGTGGAGTATAGAGCTGGTGGAGGGGTAGTGTGGGGGACAGAGGTGGAGTATAGAGCTGGTGGAGGGGTAGTGTGGGTGACAGAGGTGGAGTATAGAGCTGGTGGAGGGGTAGTGTGGGGGACAGAGGTGGAGTATAGAGCTGGTGGAGGGGTAGTGTGGGGTAGTGTGGGTGACAGAGGTGGAGTATAGAGCTGGTGGAGGGGTAGTGTGGGGGACAGAGGTGGAGTATAGAGCTGGTGGAGGGGTAGTGTGGGGGACAGAGGTGGAGTATAGAGCTGGTGGAGTATAGGGGTAGTGTGGGTGACAGAGGTGGAGTATAGAGCTGGTGCAGGGGTAGTGTGGGTGACAGAGGTGGAGTATAGAGCTGGTGGAGGGGTAGTGTGGGGGACAGAGGTGGAGTATAGAGCTGGTGGAGGGGTAGTGTGGGGGACAGAGGTGGAGTATAGAGCTGGTGGAGGGGTAGTGTGGGTGACAGAGGTGGAGTATAGAGCTGGTGCAGGGGTAGTGTGGGTGACAGAGGTGGAGTATAGAGCTGGTGCAGGGGTAGTGTGGGGGACAGAGGTGGAGTATAGAGCTGGTGGAGGGGTAGTGTGGGGGACAGAGGTGGAGTATAGAGCTGGTGGAGGGGTAGTGTGGGGGGCAGAGGTGGAGTATAGAGCTGGTGGAGGGGTAGTGTGGGGGACAGAGGTGGAGTATAGAGCTGGTGGAGGGGTAGTGTGGGGGACAGAGGTGGAGTATAGAGCTGGTGGAGGGGTAGTGTGGGTGACAAGAGGTGGAGTATAGAGCTGGTGGAGGGGTAGTGTGGGTGACAGAGGTGGAGTATAGAGCTGGTGGAGGGGTAGTGTGGGTGACAGAGGTGGAGTATAGAGCTGGTGGAGGGGTAGTGTGGGTGACAGAGGTGGAGTATAGAGCTGGTGCAGGGGTAGTGTGGGGGACAGAGGTGGAGTATAGAGCTGGTGGAGGGGTAGTGTGGGGGGCAGAGGTGGAGTATAGAGCTGGTGGAGGGGTAGTGTGGGTGACAGAGGTGGAGTATAGAGCTGGTGGAGGGGTAGTGTGGGTGACAGAGGTGGAGTATAGAGCTGGTGCAGGGGTAGTGTGGGGGACAGAGGTGGAGTATAGAGCTGGTGGAGGGGTAGTGTGGGGGACAGAGGTGGAGTATAGAGCTGGTGGAGGGGTAGTGTGGGGGACAGAGGTGGAGTATAGAGCTGGTGCAGGGGTAGTGTGGGTGGCAGAGGTGGAGTATAGAGCTGGTGCAGGGGTAGTGTGGGGGACAGAGGTGGAGTATAGAGCTGGTGCAGGGGTAGTGTGGGGGACAGAGGTGGAGTATAGAGCTGGTGCAGGGGTAGTGTGGGGGACAGAGGTGGTGCCGTGCCATCTCCCCATAACAGTGGTGTATGCTGAAGGTAACCTGGCGAGTGTTTGAGAGGCTCTCCACACAGTGACACCACAAGCTCCTCGTGTGTCTTGAGCACAACATTAAGACCATATAAAGGGCTCGAACCTGCGACTCTGGACTCCTCATATATTTCAGCATATGGGGGATGCGCACCAAGGTCTAGATGGCCTAGTCCCATGCTTATGTGCACGCTAGAGTCTTACTGTGTAGGGTCTCCTAGACTTAAACTGTTTACATGAGAGTTTACCAGTCTACCTCTCGTATGAGAATTATTACTTGTGTGGAGGGAGAGGGAGGGAGGGAGAGCAGACACGATGGAGGGTAGAGAGGGAACATCACCAACCATCCAACACCATCACTAAGACGTTGGATGGTCTCTGAATATTCAATATTGCATTAGTGACTTGTACACGTTGAGACCTGCCCCTACCCCACGCCCTCTTCCACCCCACGCCCTCTTCCACCCCACGCCCTCTTCCACCCCACGCCCTCTTCCACCCCACGCCCTCTTCCACCCCACGCCCTCTTCCACCCCACGCCCTCCGTCACCCCACGCCCTCCGTCACCCCACGCCCTCCTTCACCCCACGCCCTCCGTCACCCCACGCCCTCCGTCACCCCACGCCCTCTTCCACCCCACGCCCTCCTCCACCCCACGCCCTCTTCCACCCCACGCCCTCTTCCACCCCACGCCCTCCGTCACCCCACGCCCTCCGTCACCCCACGCCCTCCTCCACCCCACGCCCTCCTCCACCCCACGCCCTCTTCCACCCCACGCCCTCTTCCACCCCACGCCCTCCTCCACCCCACGCCCTCCGTCACCCCACGCCCTCTTCCACCCACGCCCTCTTCCACCCCACGCCCTCCTCCACCCCACGCCCTCCGTCACCCCACGCCCTGGTTACCTGGTTGATACCTGGTTGATGGGGTTCTGGGAGTTCGTCTACTCCCCAAGCCCGGCCGGAGGCCAGGCTCGACTTGTGAGAGTTTGGTCCACTAGGCTGTTGCTTGGAGCGGCCCGCAGGCCCACATACCCACCACAGCCCGGTTGGTCCGGCACTCCTTGGAGGAATAAATCTAGTTTCCTCTTGAAAATGTCCACGGTTGTTCCGGCAATATTTCTTATGCTTGCTGGGAGGACGTTGAACAACCGCGGACCTCTGATGTTTATACAGTGTTCTCTGATTGTGCCTATGGCACCTCTGCTCTTCATTGGTTCTATTCTACATTTTCTTCCATGTCGTTCACTCCAGTACGTTGTTATTTTACTGTGTAGATTTGGTACTTGGCCCTCCAGTATCTTCCAGGTGTATATTATTTGATATCTCTCTCGTCTTCTTTCTAGTGAGTACATTTGGAGGGCTTTGAGACGATCCCAATAATTTAGGTGCTTTATTGCGTCTATGCGTGCCGTATATGTTCTTCCTCTTGTTCTTCTTCCTCTGTATATGTGCCCTCTTCCACCCCACGCCCTCTTCCACCCCACGCCCTCCGTCACCCCACGCCCTCCTACCCTTAGTGTATCTCCTGACAGCTGTAGGGTGTGGCTGTACCGCCCCTAGTGTGACGCCACACAGCTGTAGGGTGTGGCTGTACCGCCCCTAATGTGACGCCAAACAGCTGTAGGGTGTGGCTGTACCGCCCCTAGTGTGACGCCAAACAGCTGTAGGGTGTGGCTGTACCGCCCCTAATGTGACGCCAAACAGCTGTAGGGTGTGGCTGTACCGCCGCTAGTGTGACGCCACACAGCTGTAGGGTGTGACTGTACCCGCCCCTAGTGTGACGTCACACAGCTGTAGGGTGTGACTGTACCCGCCCCTAGTGTGACGCCAAACAGCTGTAGGGTGTGGCTGTACCCGCCCCTGGTGTGACGTCACACAGCTGTAGGGTGTGGCTGTACCCGCCCCTAGTGTGACGTCACACAGCTGTAGGGTGTGGCTGTACCCGCCCCTGGTGTGACGTCACACAGCTGTAGGGTGTGGCTGTACCCGCCCCTAGTGTGACGTCACACAGCTGTAGGGTGTGGCTGTACCGCCGCTAGTGTGACGCCAAACAGCTGTAGGGTGTGCCTGTACCGCCCCTAGTGTGACGCCAAACAGCTGTAGGGTGTGGCTGTACCGCCCCTAGTGTGACGTCACACAGCTGTAGGGTGTGACTGTACCCGCCCCTAGTGTGACGCCAAACAGCTGTAGGGTGTGACTGTACCCGCCCCTAGTGTGACGCCAAACAGCTGTAGGGTGTGGCTGTACCGCCCCTAGTGTGACGCCACACAGCTGTAGGGTGTGGCTGTACCGCCCCTAGTGTGACGCCAAACAGCTGTAGGGTGTAGCTGTACCGCCCCTAGTGTGACGCCACACAGCTGTAGGGTGTGACTGTACCCGCCCCTAGTGTGACGTCACACAGCTGTAGGGTGTGACTGTACCCGCCCCTAGTGTGACGCCAAACAGCTGTAGGGTGTGGCTGTACCCGCCCCTGGTGTGACGTCACACAGCTGTAGGGTGTGGCTGTACCCGCCCCTAGTGTGACGTCACACAGCTGTAGGGTGTGGCTGTACCCGCCCCTAGTGTGACGTCACACAGCTGTAGGGTGTGGCTGTACCGCCGCTAGTGTGACGCCAAACAGCTGTAGGGTGTGCCTGTACCGCCCCTAGTGTGACGCCAAACAGCTGTAGGGTGTGGCTGTACCGCCCCTAGTGTGACGTCACACAGCTGTAGGGTGTGACTGTACCCGCCCCTAGTGTGACGCCAAACAGCTGTAGGGTGTGACTGTACCCGCCCCTAGTGTGACGCCAAACAGCTGTAGGGTGTGGCTGTACCGCCCCTAGTGTGACGTCACACAGCTGTAGGGTATGACTGTACCCGCCCCTAGTGTGACGCCAAACAGCTGTAGGGTGTGGCTGTACCGCCGCTAGTGTGACGCCACACTGTCGTCCCCTGGGGCTGGCGCCACCGGGTCTCTCAGTCTCCCCTCGGCACTTAAATTCTGATGTCAGCCCTGGAGCGCCACCGTTCAAGTGTCACTTAGCATAATTTCATTGTACATCCTCATTTTTATAAGCGCTAGATCCGTATCATTAGTCGCGGTGATGTGACGCCTGGTTTGCCGTGGTGCCACGTCTGGGCGGACCCCTGCTCCTTGTCTCACACGCATTTGCAGCATTGAAGTCGTCGCCATAGAAATACGATGGTGGTTCGCGACCATTAACACCACACTCAATTTCCTCTGGTCACTTTTCAAGATAAATCTGTGGATTCGCCGTGACAGATTCTAAAGACTTGGCAACGGTGCAATCCGTCTTGAAGTCGTAAGTTGCCGCCAAAATATTTGCCGCGCGCGGGACAGTAGGCGGCGCGGGACTCCCAGCCTTAAGGTGTCGGGGTCTAGAGGCTATTTTCCCGCCACTTGCTTCAGCTGACGTGATAAGCACAAGTGCTAAGGGATTATTTGTCCAAACATGCATTAGGTTCATATGAGTGATGGTTGTTGATGCTGAGGATAGTGATGGTGGTGATGGTGTTGGTGATGATGGTGACGATGGGCTGGTGGAGGCGACGAGAGTGCCAACCGTATGGCACCATGACAAGCTCGAGTGCCGCCGACTCTGGCACCCCATAGCGGGAGGTTTTACCCCGTCACACACGATCCAGGGGCCATTAAGCATTCACCAAACCACTTACGAAACCTGTACATCTTTCCTTAATCATAGCGACTTTGTTTACATTTATTAAGCAGTTTACGAGGTTGTAAACTTCACAACCCAAGATTATTATTTATAAACAACCTCTTAGTGCTTCGAAGCTCATAATCTGTTTAATAAATGTAAACAAAGCCGCCATGATTGAGGAAAGATGTAGAGGTTCCGTAAGTGGATGCGCAAATGTTTAATGAATCCCGATGCATATCTTGAGGTTGAGTACGGTTAACAGCACAACTGTGTGGTTCATTAATTAGTGGTGTTAACACTGAGAGTGAGTGAACAGATGTTCAGATACAGGTAGAGAGTGAACAGCGTGTTCAACACGGAGAGTGGCCCTGTTGATGTGTTGATATGTCTTCTGTTCCCATCACCCCAAACTGTACACTTCTCTCGCCTCCCCTTCCTCAAGCTTCCCATCTCCCCTTACCTCAAGCTTCCCATCTCCCCTTACCTCAAGCTTCCCATCTCCCCTTACCTCAAGCTTCCCATCTTCCCTTACCTCAGGCTTCCCATCTCCCCTTACCTCAAGCTTCCCATCTCCCCTTACCTCAAGCTTCCCATCTCCCCTTACCTCAAGCTTCCCATCTTCCCTTACCTCAGGCTTCCCATCTCCCCTTACCTCAGGCTTCCCAGCTCCCCTTACCTCAGGCTTCCCATCTCCCTTACCTCAAGCTTCCCATCTCCCCTTACCTCAAGCTTCCCATCTTCCCTTACCTCAGGCTTCCCATCTCCCCTTACCTCAGGCTTCCCAGCTCCCCTTACCTCAGGCTTCCCATCTCCCCTTACCTCAAGCTTCCCATCTCCCCTTACCTCAAGCTTCCCATCTCCCCTTACCTCAGGCTTCCCATCTCCCCTTACCTCAGGCTTCCCAGCTCCCCTTACCTCAGGCTTCCCATCTCCCCTTACCTCAAGCTTCCCATCTCCCCTTACCTCAGGCTTCCCATCTCCCCTTACCTCAGGCTTCCCAGCTCCCCTTACCTCAGGCTTCCCATCTCCCCTTACCTCAGGCTTCCCATCTCCCCTTACCTCAGGCTTCCCATCTCCCCTTACCTCAGGCTTCCCATCTCCCCTTACCTCAGGCTTCCCATCTCCCCTTACCTCAGGCTTCCCATCTCCCCTTACCTCAAGCTTCCCATCTCCCCTTACCTCAGGCTTCCCATCTCCCCTTACCTCAGGCTTCCCATCTCCCCTTACCTCAGGCTTCCCATCTCCCCTTACCTCAGGCTTCCCATCTCCCCTTACCTCAAGCTTCCCATCTCCCCTTACCTCAAGCTTCCCATCTCCCCTTACCTCAAGCTTCCCATCTCCCCTTACCTCAGGCTTCCCATCTCCCCTTACCTCAGGCTTCCCATCTCCCCTTACCTCAGGCTTCCCAGCTCCCCTTACCTCAGGCTTCCCAGCTCCCCTTAACTCAGGCTTCCCAGCTCCCCTTAACTCAGGCTTCCCAGCTCCCCTTAACTCAGGCTTCCCAGCTCCCTTAACTCAGGCTTCCCATCTCCCCTTACCTCAGGCTTCCCATCTCCCCTTACCTCAGGCTTCCCATCTCCCCTTACCTCAGGCTTCCCATCTCCCCTTACCTCAGGCTTCCCATCTCCCCTTACCTCAGGCTTCCCATCTCCCCTTACCTCAAGCTTCCCATCTCCCCTTACCTCAAGCTTCCCATCTCCCCTTACCTCAAGCTTCCCATCTCCCCTTACCTCAAGCTTCCCATCTCCCCTTACCTCAGGCTTCCCATCTCCCCTTACCTCAGGCTTCCCATCTCCCCTTACCTCAGGCTTCCCAGCTCCCCTTACCTCAGGCTTCCCAGCTCCCCTTAACTCAGGCTTCCCAGCTCCCCTTAACTCAGGCTTCCCAGCTCCCCTTAACTCAGGCTTCCCATCTCCCCTTACCTCAGGCTTCCCATCTCCCCTTACCTCAGGCTTCCCATCTCCCCTTTCGACCCCTTCTTTCCATCCTTCTCTGCCCCCTTACCTCAGGCTTCCCATCTCCCCTTTCGACCTCTTCTTTCCATCCTTCTCTGCCCCCTTACCTCAGGCTTCCCATCTCCCCTTTCGATCCCTTCTTTCCATCCTTCTCTGCCCCCTTCCCTTGCTGTCTTTTCCCTGTTTCCCATCACTCCCTCACTTGAAGGGGCGGTGGCACCCCTTCCCCAACACATTGCTGCTAACTAAACGACAAAAGCCACACCGGCTAACCATTCCCTCGTCGTTCCGGGTGTTGGTTAGTGTTATAATGGGACAGTTACCCTTTCCATATTCTCCCCCTTCGCTCGTTTTCTGTTTATGCTTGCTCAGCTCCCCTCTTCTCTCGGCCCTTTTCTTTTTTTTCCCCACCCATTTTTCCCCTCCTTATTCTCCCCTCACTTGTAAAGCCTTGAGGGGGACCTCCTGCTGGAGCCATCATGCCGGAGATGACGCCCCAGCTTCCTGCTCCTCCTGTTGCTGCTGCTGCTGCTCTTATGACTGCTCTTGTTGATGCTGCTGCTCTTCTTGTTGATGCTGGTGCTGTTGTTGATGCTGCTGCTCTTCTTGTTGATGCTGGTGCTGTTGATGCTGCTGTTGATGCTGGTCCTGTTGATGATGCTGCTGTTGATGCTGGTGCTGTTGTTGATGCTGCTGTTGATGCTGGTGCTGTTGTTGATGCTGCTGTTGATGCTGGTGCTGTTGTTGATGCTGCTGCTCTTCTTGTTGATGCTGGTGCTGTTGTTGATGATGCTATTGATGCTGGTCCTGTTGATGATGCTGCTGTTGATGCTGGTGCTGTTGTTGATGCTGCTGTTGATGCTGGTGCTGTTGTTGATGCTGCTGCTCTTCTTGTTGATGCTGGTGCTGTTGTTGATGATGCTATTGATGCTGGTCCTGTTGATGATGCTGCTGTTGATGCTGGTGCTGTTGTTGATGCTGCTGCTCTTCTTGTTGATGCTGGTGCTGTTGTTGATGATGCTATTGATGCTGGTCCTGTTGATGATGCTGCTGTTGATGCTGGTGCTGTTGTTGATGCTGCTGTTGATGCTGGTGCTGTTGATGTTGTTGCTGTCATTGACAAGTGTGTAAAGTGACGGAGAAAAGTAACCAGGTGGCGGATGGTGGAGCATGAGGAGAGGACACGGAGGACAAGGCCAGCAGCTGGGTTAGTAAAGTGACTGACAACCCTGGTTGACTTCTCTGACAAAGTTACTAAAATAACACAGAAAAGGAAGGCTGGGTATACTGTATTTTCTTAGGCTGTCAAAAAGTATTTGACGCCGAAACTGTACCTCACACTAATGGTTTGTTATGACAGTGAGATATGGATACAATATTTTTCAGATGTGACAGGAAACACCGGCTACAGGGTTAGGTCAGCCTCTACATCAAAGACACACTCATCTGTACTGAGCTGCTAAACACCACAAATGATATGGTGGAAGTGCTGATAATCAAAATAGAGATCTTAAATGTGGTTATTGTCCTTGTATATACGTCACCGGAGGCAAATCACCAGCAGTTTAAAGACCAACTAATGAAAGTAGAACACTGCTTGGAAACCCTCACAAAACCTGCCCTTGACATCTTGCTCTCGGTGGTTTCAACTCAAGGGATCTAAAATTTAAAATGTGGCAAATACTGTTATAGCAGAGAGTCCCAGGAAGCGGTCTGATGAACAGTCACACACACATGACCTCTTGCAGATGCACTCACCTAGTTGTGCTTGCGGGAGTTGAGCTCTGGCTCTTTGGTCCCGCCTCTCAACTGTCAATACAGGTGTACAGGTTCCTAAGCCTATTGGGCTCTATCATATCTACATTTGAAACTGTGTATGGAGTCAGCCTCCACCACATCACTTCCTAATACATTCCATTTACTAACTACTCTGACACTGAAAACTTCTTTCTAACGTCTCTGTGGTTCATTTGGGTATTCAGCTTCCACCTGTGTCCCCTTGTCCGTGTACCACCCGTGTTAAATAATCCATCCTTTTCTACCTTGTCAATTCCCCTGAGAATCTTGTATGTGGTGATCATATCTCCCCGAGCTCTTCTGTCTTCCAGCGACGTGAAGTGCAGTTCCATCAGCCTTTCCTTGTAACTCGTGCCTCTTAGTTCTGGGACTAGCCTAATGGCATACCTCTGAACTTTTTCCAGTTTCGTCTTGTGCTTGTGCCTACGGGCTCCATGCTGGGGCCGCATACTCCAGGATTGGCCTTACATATATGGCATACAAGGTTCTGAAAGATTCCTTACACAAGTTTCTGAAGGCAGTTCTAATGTTAGCCAGCCTCGCATACGCCGCAGATGTTATTCTTTTGATGTGGGCTTCAGGAGACAGGGTTGGTGTGATATCAACTCCTAGCTCTTTCTCTCTGTCCGTTTCGTGAAGGACTTCCTCTCCCATTCGGTATCCAGTATCTGGTCTCCTATGTGTGACACATTTGCTTCAAGCCAGCAAATAGTAGAACCAACTAGGAAAGAAAACGCACTAAACCGTTTTTACAGCCAACGCTGAGCCGATTAGGGACATAATGATTACAAATACTTGTTACTCGGATCACAACCTAATCGAAGTTCAGAGAAGCATGAGCAGTATGACCTGCGCAGCCAATCTCAAATCCAAGAAGACGAGAATTCGGCAAAATTAATTTTAACAAACATTAACTGTGAACGAATAAACGAAGACCTCGCAGAACATTGCTGGGAACAAATCCACAAGGGCCGTGACGAGGATTCGAACCTGCGTACGGGAGCATCCCATCTCGTCATGGCCCTTGTGGATTTGTTCATTTGTGCATCACGTTAGTGTGATCTCTGTGTGTAATGATGTAAGGGCGAAGAGGGAGAACGGCTTATTGACATAGCTGGAGTGCATGGGGGAGTTGTGTAAAATCCTGGTTTGTGCCTCGGAGTGGCTATGGGATCCAGTAAGTTCAGTAGAACTTCGGTTTCAACTCTTTTACCCTGTCGTAGCTCAGTCGATGAAGGCAGTGTCTGGGATGCTCCCGGACGCAGGTTCGAATCCTCGTCACGGCCCTTGTGGATTTGTTCATTTGTGCATCACGTTAGTGTGATCTCTGTGTGTAATTGCTGGGAAGAACAACTACATAATACAGACTTAAACCAGTTCTTAGAGAAAATAGGCACTGTACCACTAGGGACATGTAGACGACATACACCACTAAGGAACATGTAGACGACATACACCACTAAGGAACATGTAGACGACATACACCACTAAGGAACATGTTGACGACATACACCACTAAGGAACATGTAGACGACATACACCACTAAGGAACATGTTGACGACATACACCACTAAGGAACATGTAGACGACATACACCACTAAGGAACATGTAGACGACATACACCACTAAGGAACATGTAGACGACATACACCACTAAGGAACATGTTGACGACATACACCACTAAGGAACATGTTGACGACATACACCACTAAGGAACATGGAGACGACATACACCACTAAGGAACATGTTGACGACATACACCACTAAGGAACATGTAGACGACATACAGCACTAAGGAACATGTTGACGACATACACCACTAAGGAACATGTAGACGACATACACCACTAAGGAACATGTAGACGACATACACCACTAAGGAACATGTAGACGACATACACCACTAAGGAACATGTTGACGACATACACCACTAAGGAACATGGAGACGACATACACCACTAAGGAACATGTTGACGACATACACCACTAAGGAACATGTTGACGACATACACCACTAAGGAACATGTTGACGACATACACCACTAAGGAACATGTTGACGACATACACCACTAAGGAACATGTTGACGACATACACCACTAAGGAACATGTTGACGACATACACCACTAAGGAACATGTAGACGACATACACCACTAAGGAACATGTAGACGACATACACCACTAAGGAACATGTTGACGACATACACCACTAAGGAACATGGAGACGACATACACCACTAAGGAACATGTTGACGACATACACCACTAAGGAACATGGAGACGACATACACCACTAAGGAACATGTTGACGACATACACCACTAAGGAACATGTTGACGACATACACCACTAAGGAACATGTAGACGACATACACCACTAAGGAACATGGAGACGACATGCACCACTAAGGAACATGTTGACGACATACACCACTAAGGAACATGTTGACGACATACACCACTAAGGAACATGTTGACGACATACACCACTAGGGACATGTTGACGACATACACCACGAAGAAAAATGTGGTATCGAGTTGGTTTTCGATACCAACTGGGAGGAGAACAGCGCTCCCTATACAGGCGAAGACAACACAACAGAACATCTCAGACGCTCCACTCCATCCCACCAACGACCAGGAAGGAAGGCTGCCTACCTCCTGTGTACCTTGTGGAGGTTCCGGGGATCAACGTCCCCGCGCCCCGGTCTCCGACCAGGCCTCCCGTTTGGTCGCCTGGTGAAACAGGTTGTTGGAAACGGCTGCTCGCAGCCTGACGTATGAATCACAGCCTGGTTGATCAGGTATCCTTTGGAGGTGTTCATCCAGTTCTCTCTTGAACACTGTGAGGGGTCGGCCAGTTATGCCCCTTATGTGTAGTGGAAGCGTGTTGAACAGTCTCGGACCTCTGATGTTGATAGTTCTCTCTCAGAGTACTTGTTGCACCTCTGCTCTTCAACGGGGGTGTTCTGCACATCCTGCCATGCCTTCTGGTCTCATGTGGTGTTATTTCTGTGTGCAGGTTTGGAAGATTTGTACCTACTCTAGATTAGACTTAGTACCTACGCAGATTAGACTTGGCCTTCCAACTTTATTTACAATTTCCCAGTCACCAGTCGCATTCAATTTGTCTTGGAAGCAAATAGACGTGTGATCCCCAGGATTGTTTCAAGCGTAGGTTAGACACATTTATATGAATGAATTTGGGTGGATGTAAATAGGAGCTGCTTCGTATGGGTCAGCAGGCATTCTGCAGTTTCCTTTATTCTTATAATTACCAAGAGTGTTGTTTATGCGTCTGGTTTACCAGGAGTATACCTGAATCGGGTTGTCGGAGTCGTCCTACTCCCCAAACCTGGCCTGGGGCTAGGCTTGACTTGAAGTAACTTTGTCCAACAGGCTGTTGTTTGCAGGAGCCCGCAGGCCCACATATCAGTAAGCCGGTTGGCCGGGCACTTCTTGCAGGAATGGCGTACCTCGCCCTCTTCCAAAATTCTTGAGTCATTTCAGAAGAAAACTGGTTGTGTGAGGAGCGGCCCTCATACTGGAGGAGGGTGGTAGCCATGTGCCACAACACTGCTTCAGTGTGGGTCCTGTGCGACACGCTCGGTGGCCTCAGTGTGTTGTGTGGCGGGTCCGCTAGTGTGGTCACATGATACTCACACTGCACTTTATCCTGGTGAGTTAGTGTGTATGTAGTGAAGCAGGCTCACAGGTACAAGGCTCAGGGAGCAGCATCAGCAGGCAACAGCAGGTGGCGGAGGGTGACAGGGCCTCAGCAGGCTGTTGCTTCACCATTAACACTATCTAAATAGGATCAGAGTGGACCACTGGCCATTACTGGTGCCATTAAGGCCACGACTTTATCTTGATAACAAACTATGAAATATTCGGCCCAGGGTTCTCCGCTTGTAATTAATGGAAGCACCACCACATAACTTGGCTCCGTGTCTTGTCTTCCAGGTGTGGGCGGCCAGTGTGGGGTGTGGGCGGCCGGTGTGGGGTGTGGGCGGCCGGTGTGGGGTGTGGGCGGCCGGTGTGGGGTGTGGGCGGCCGGTGTGGGGTGTGGGCGGCCGGTGTGGGGTGTGGGCGGCCGGTGTGGGGTGTGGGCCGGCCGGTGGGCGGCCAGTGTGGGGTGTGGGCGGCCGGTGTGGGGTGTGGGCGGCCGGTGTGGGGTGTGGGTGGCCGGTGTGGGGTGTGGGCGGCCGGTGTGGGGTGTGGGGTGTGGGGTGTGGGCGGCCGGTGTGGGGTGTGGGCGGCCGGTGTGGGGTGTGGGCGGCCGGTGTGGGGTGTGGGCGGCCGGTGTGGGGTGTGGGCGGCCGGTGTGGGGTGTGGGCGGCGGTGTGGGGTGTGGGCCGGTGTGGGGTGTGGGCGGCCGGTGTGGGGTGTGGGCGGCCGGTGGGGGGTGTGGGGTGTGGGCGGCCGGCCGGTGTGGGGTGTGGGCGGCCGGTGTGGGGTGTGGGCGGCCGGTGTGGGGTGTGGGCGGCCGGTGTGGGGTGTGGGCGGCCGGTGTGGGGTGTGGGCGGCCGGTGTGGGGTGTGGGCGGCCGGTGTGGGGTGTGGGCGGCCGGGGTGGGGTGTGGGCGGCCGGTGTGGGGTGTGGGCGGCCGGTGTGGGGTGTGGGCGGCGGGTGTGGGCGGCCAGTGTGGGGTGTGGGCGGCCGGTGTGGGGTGTGGGCGGGGGTGGGGGTGGGCGGCCGGTGTGGGGTGTGGGCGGCCGGTGTGGGGTGTGGGCGGGGTGTGGGGTGTGGGCGGCCGGTGTGGGGTGTGGGCGGCCAGTGTGGGGTGTGGGCGGCCGGTGTGGGGTGTGGGCGGCCAGTGTGGGGTGTGGGCGGCCAGTGTGGGGTGTGGGGGTGTGGGGTGTGGGCGGCCGGTGTGTGTGGGCGGCCAGTGTGGGGTGTGGGCGGCCGGTGTGGGGTGTGGGCGGCCGGTGTGGGGTGTGGGCGGCCGGTGTGTGGGGGTGTGGGCGGCCGTGTGTGGGGTGTGGGCGGCCGGTGTGGGGTGTGGGCGGCCGGTGTGGGGGGTGTGGGCGGCCAGTGTGGGGTGTGGGCGGCCAGTGTGGGGTGTGGGCGGCCAGTGTGGGGTGTGGGCGGCCGGTGCCAGTGTGGGGTGTGGGCGGGTGTGGGGTGTGGGCGGCCGGTGTGGGGTGTGGGCGGCCGGTGTGGGGTGTGGGCGGCCGGTGTGGGGTGTGGGCGGCCAGTGTGGGGTGTGGGCGGCCAGTGTGGGGTGTGGGCGGCCAGTGTGGGGTGTGGGCGGCCAGTGTGGGGTGTGGGCGGCCGGTGTGGGGTGTGGGCGGCCAGTGTGGGGTGTGGGCGGCCAGTGTGGGGTGTGGGCGGCCGGTGTGGGGTGTGGGCGGCCAGTGTGGGGTGTGGGCGGCCAGTGTGGGGTGTGGGCGACTAGTGTAAGGTGTGGCCGACCAGTGTGGGGTGTGGGCGGCCAGTGTGGGGTGTGGGCGGCCAGTGTGGGGTGTGGGCGGCCAGTGTGGGGTGTGGCCGGCCAGTGTGGGGTGTGGGCGGCCAGTGTGGGGTGTGGGCGGCCAGTGTGGGGTGTGGGCGGCCAGTGTGGGGTGTGGGCGGGTGTGGGCGGCCAGTGTGGGGTGTGGGCGGCCAGTGTGGGGTGTGGGCGGCCAGTGTGGGGTGTGGGCGGCCAGTGTGGGTGTGTGCGGCGGTGGGGTGTGGGCGGTGTGGGTGGCCGCCAGTGTGGGGTGTGGGCGGCCAGTGTGGGGTGTGGGCGGCCAGTGTGGGGTGTGGCGGCCGGCCAGTGTGGGGTGTGGCCGGCCAGTGTGGGTGTGTGGGCGGCCAGTGTGGGGTGTGGGTGTGGGGTGTGGGCGGCCAGTGTGGGGTGTGGGCGGCCAGTGTGGGGTGTGGGCGGCCAGTGTGGGGTGTGGCCGGCCAGTGTGGGGTGTGGGCGACCAGTGTAAGGTGTGGCCGGCCAGTGTGGGGTGTGGGCGACTAGTGTAAGGTGTGGCCGGCCAGTGTGGGGTGTGGCCGGCCAGTGTGGGGTGTGGCCGGCCAGTGGCCAGGGGTGTGGCCGGCCAGTGTGGGGTGTGGCCGGCCAGTGTGGGGTGTGGCCGGCCAGTGTGGGGTGTGGCCGGCCAGTGTGGGGTGGGGTGTGGCCGGCCAGTGTGGGGTGTGGCCGGCCAGTGTGGGGTGTGGCCGGCCAGTGTGGGGTGTGGCCGGCCAGTGTGGGGTGTGGGCGGCCAGTGTGGGGGTGTGGCCGGCCAGTGTGGGGGTGTGGCCGGCCAGTGTGGGGTGTGGCCGGCCAGTGTGGGGTGTGGCCGGCCAGTGTGGGGTGTGGGCGGCCAGTGTGGGGTGTGGCCGGCCAGTGTGGGGTGTGGCCGGCCAGTGTGGGGTGTGGCCGGCCAGTGTGGGGTGTGGCCGGCCAGTGTGGGGTGTGGGCGGCCAGTGTGGGGTGTGGCCGGCCAGTGTGGGGTGTGGCCGGCCAGTGTGGGGTGTGTTTATGGATCGCGACTAACAGAAAGTCCTAAAACTAATCACTTACGGTCATGTCAGACTGAAGTATTGAGCAAGTGAATATTTAGTTTTCAGAGCGGCGATAGAATATTTGGTGATAATTCGCGCGTGACATTTTGAGGACAGACAGCCATCCACGGAGGAAGGGGAGACCGCCAGGGCATGACGGATGCCAGACTGGCCCGTCGGTGCCCCGGCCACAAGGGCCAGTCTCCACTACCTCACACCCGCTGGTCACAACATATAAAAATACAAATCCACTCCCCGATGTTCGAACATATTTTTCTACAATTGAACATTGGAGCGGCGGTCATTTATAGCGATGCGTTGAAGTTGACCTTTTCTAAGTTTGTGGCATTTATATTGTATTTATGGCAGTCTTTACACGGTAGTGGCGCAGTTTAGTCCCCCCTTCACCTATTTCACGTTTTCTGTTTGTGATTTAGTGGTGGGGGGGGGGGGGGGGGCTGGTCAAAATGTACGCCAGACTGTTCCAAGTGTCGGAACTGTATGGTTAGTGAGGTGTGGAGGGTTTGGTTAGGTTAGGTTACCTTTGGATTTGTTGTTAGCATGGTGTGTGGGTGTGGGTACTCACCTAGTTGTGCTTGCGGGGATTGAGCTCTGGCTCTTTGATCCCGCCTCTTAACTGTCAATCAACTGGTGTACAGATTCCTGAGCCTATTAGGCTCTTATTATATTTACACTTGAAACTGTCAATGGAGTCAGCCTCCACCAAAGGTAGGTGTGTAATTACCTAAGTGTAGTTACAGGATGAGAGCTACGCTCGTGGTGTCCCGTCTTCCCAGCACTCTTTGTCATATAACGCTTTGAAACTACTGACGGTCTTGGCCTCCACCACCTTCTCACCTAACTTGTTCCAACCGTCTACCACTCTGTTTGCGAAAGTGATTTTTCTTATATTTCTTCGGCATCTGTGTTTAGCTAGTTTATATCTATGACCTCTTGTTCTTAAAGTTCCAGGTCTCAGGAAATCTTCCCTATCGATTTGATCAATTCCTGTTACTATTTTGTATGTAGTGATCATATCACCTCTTTTTCTTCTGTCTTCCAGTTTTGGCATATTTAATGCCTCTAACATCTCTTCGTAGCTCTTGCCCTTCAGTTCTGGGAGCCACTTAGTAGCATGTCTTTGCACCTTTTCCAGTTTGTTGATGTGCTTCTTAAGATATGGGCACCACACAACCGCTGCATATTCTAGCTTTGGCCTAACAAAGCTAGAATAGGCCTCTAGAATAGAATAATAGGTGTGTGTGTGTGCTTGCGGGGGTTGAGCTCTGGCTCTTTGGTCAGTGTGTGTGTGTGTGTTTTACGAAATATATACGAGAATGCTCTTCACCATTGCTTGGGGTGGACGGTAGAGCGACGGTCTCCCTTCATGCTGGTCGGCGTTCAATCCCCGACCGTGCAAGTGGTTGGGCACCATTCCTTCCCCCTGTCCCATCCCTGACCCTTATCCTGACCCCTTCTCAATGCCATATAATCGTAATGGCTCGGTGCTTTCCCCTGATAATTCGGTCATGACCATTACTCTCAAGCCTTTAATGTGATACTAATGCCAGTAAGTTGGCGGAACCAGCAACCGGTAGCGGAGACCGAGCCGCGGAGCCGTTGATCCACGGAATCTCCACAAGGGAGGTAAGTATGTACTCAAGACCTTGGTGAAGCACTCAGGAGAGTGCGAAAGACCTTACATAAAACCCACATTGTTTTTTTTACCCCATATTAATATGTACAATAAGCAAGTTCCATTACTGTGATAGAGGACTTACAAGAGAGAGTCTCACACCTGGGGGCCGAGAGTGCGTTCCCAGTCACATATTTACACCTGTCGTGTATTTACATGTCTTAGCAACATTGAATATGTACAAAATAAAATTTACATAATTTGATATTTTAATATTTATATGTATTATTGGGTGTGATGATGAGGGTTAAGGCCGTTGTGGGGAGCAGACTACTAACTCCTCGGTGTTCTCCTCCTCCACAGATTCCGGATAGACAATACCGATCACATAATAGATGTGAACAAGGGCAATATTCCCTTCGAGTACGACCAGGTCAACATCATCTGCCCCGTCTACAACAAGGACACCAGTGAGGACGACGCTGAGAAGTATATCATCTACAATGTGAGTTATACCTCGTGTCTCTCTGTCTGTTGGGGGTCCTCCCCCTCGTGTCTCTCTGTCTGTTGGGGCCCCCCCTCGTCTCTCTCTGTCTGTTGGGGCCCCCCCCTCGTCTCTCTCTGTCTGTTGGGGCCCCCCCTCGTCTCTTTCTGTCTGTTGGGGCCCCCCCTCGTCTCTCTCTGTCTGTTGGGGCCCCCCCCTCGTCTCTCTCTGTCTGTTGGGGCCCCCCCCTCGTCTCTCTCTGTCTGTTGGGGCCCCCCCCTCGTCTCTTTCTGTCTGTTGGGGCCCCCCCTCGTCTCTCTCTGTCTGTTGGGGTCCCCCTCGTGTCTGTCTGTCAGCACCCCACATCTGTCGTTTGTCACCCCACATCTGTCAGTTGTGGCTGCAGGTGTTGAAGCCAGAAAACAAATCTTCTTCACCTATTTCTGTGCCTTCTTCCCCCCCCCCCTTCCCCCTCTCCCAATACCAGATATTTTGCCCCAGATTATTATTTCATTATTATATTCATTATTTTGTAATGCCCCAGATATTCACGAAGGATGACAAAGAAATTAGTTAAATCCTAAAACTGCAGTATGAGGATATGTTTAGTATCCCATTAAACATCATGAAAGTTGAAGATCCACACAGCTTCTTTATGAAGGAAACTGTCAGAGGAAAGTGCCAAGCCATTACGACTAAACAGCCCTGGGAAGGGATTAGGATAAGGATTTGGGATGGGATGGGGGGGGGGGGCGAATGGTGCCCAACCACTTGGACGGTACGCCGACTTGCAGGAAGCGAGACCGTCGCTCTACCGTCCAGCCCAAGTGGTTTGGCGAATGAATCCAAGTTCCAGATAATATAACGAATATTTAACACGAACTCAGAAGACTTTGAAAGATAAATTGACAACATGCCCAATGCACTCAGCCCCTGGGTCTGACTCATGGAATTCAATATTCATAAAGAAATGTAAAGTACCAGTAGCGCAAGCACTCACTATAGCATGGAGAACAAACTTGGATAGAGGAGAGATTCCAGAATCACTTCAATCAGCAGATATAGTCCCACTACACAAGGGGGGTAATAAAGCTTTTGTAAAAAGCTATAGACCAGTTGCACTAACATCACACATAATTACATTTTCGAAAGAGTGTTTAGGAACCAAATCCCAAGTTTTATGGAAAATAATGAACTACACAACCCAGGACAACATGGATTTAGAACGGAAGATCCTGTCACAGTTACTTAACTATTTTCTGTTAGTCAGTGGTTGAAACTGACGTTTGCCTTTCCATTAGAGACTTTCGGCGCCGTGGAGAGGGGGGGAACCTGCTGCATGGGTAACAGCTTCTCCTCAGTATCAACCTACCATGGCTTTGCGCCCTGGAGAGGCCACTCCAGACCGACAACCAAAATGCCTACTATCTACTATGACAAACTCACAGAAGCACACTACTCACAACTGATGACGTCCGAACACTTCCGGAACAAGTGCTTCGCTCACGTCCTCTGTTCGAATCATAGTTCAATAAATGCTTCACCCACGTACTTCAAATACAAATAATCGCCAACAGAACCTAAACACCTAACCTAACTATACATATATTTTTTATGTATAATAATATTAATTTATATACGAGAACAAACCAATTTTTAATACACAGTATGTTAAAATGCATGAATGCGTGTGGGGAGGACGGCCGCTGCTTTAAACAGCCTGTTGTGTGGACGGGTTGACTTTTTCTCATTCTCACATCAGACAGACAAAAACACTAGTCACAGCTTCGTGACATCCTTTGCAGATGATACAAAAATCAACATGAAAACTTCCTTTGCAGAAGACACTAGAAAACTGCAAACTGACATTAATAAAGTCTTCGACTGGCGCAATTGAAAATAACATGATGTTTAACGGTGACAAGTTCCAGGTACTGAGGTATGGTGGAAACGAGGAAGTTAAACGAAACACAGGGTACAGGACACAATCAGACATACTCATAGAAGGAAAGCAACACGTAAAAGATCTGGGAATTATGATGTCTGACGACCCGACATTTAGTGAACATAACCGAGCAAATATAGCGGCCGCCAGGAACATGATAGGATGGATTATGAGAACGTTCAAATCCAGAGACTCCACAACAAGGCTAATACTGTTTAAATCACTGGTGCTGTCCCGTCTTGAGTATTACTCGGTACTCCCCCTTTCAGAGCGGGAGAGATCTCTGAATTAGAGGCAATACAGAGAACATATACGGCACGCTTAGAAACGATAAAACATCTGAATTATTGGGACCGTCTAAAAGCTCTCAAAATGTACTCTGGAAAGGAGACGAGATAGGTATCAAATAATATATACATGGAAGATACTGGAGGACCAGGTCCCAAATTTGCACAGTAGAATAACAACATACTGGAGTGAAAGATATGGAAGGAAATGCAGAATAGAATCAGTGAGGAGTAGATGTGCCATAGGCACAACCAGAGAACACTGAACATCAGAGGTCAACAGCTGTTCAACGTCCACGTCTCAGCAAGCATTAGAAATATTGCCGGAACAAAGGTGGACCCATTGCTGACTATTATAATGTTAAGTTGGTCATTAGTTTGGTTTAAAGACCACTATGACATGGCCTTAGGTGCTATGGAAGACAAGCAAAACGCTGCTGTAATATACACAAACTTTGCAAAAACTTTCGACAAATGTGACCATAGTGTTATTGTGCACAAAATGCGTGCACAAGGAATTACTGGCAAAGTAGGGAGATGGATCTTCAACTTCCTAACGAAAAGAATGCAGAGTGTAATAGTCAACACAGTAAAATCTGGATCATCTACTGTGAAGAGCTCAGTCCCCCAAGGCACAGTACTTGCTCCGGTACTTGTTCTCATCCTAATATCAGACACAGACAAGGATACAAACTACAGCACTGTATCATCATTTGCAGTGATGACACCAGGATTGTCACGCGAGTAGACAATATAGAGGACACGGCAAGCCTCCAATCCGATGTAAATCGGGTCTTTCAATGGCCCACATATAATATGATGATGTTTAATGAAGATAGGTTCCAGCTCCTCCGCTATGGGAAAAAAATGAAATTTAAAAAACTAAACTGAATCAAATCTCACTAGAGAAGGAAAAAGCAACGTAAAGGAGGTAGGAATAATCATGTCAGAAGACCTTACCTTTACAGAACACCATAAAGTAGCTGTCACGACTGCAAGAAAAATGACAGGTTGGATAACAAGGACCTTCCAAACAAGGGACGCCATACCAATGATGATACTTTTGAAGACACTAGTGCTCTCTAGGATAGAACATTGTTGCACACTAACAGCACCATTCAAAGCTGGAGAAATTGCTGACCTAGAGAGCGTGCAAAGATCTTTTACCGTTAGAATCCACTCTATAAGTCATCTTAATTATTGGGACGATTAAAAGTTCTAAATCTGTATTCTCTAGAGCGCAGGCGAGAGAGATACATAATAATTTACACGTGGAAGATATTAGAGGGACTGGTTCCAAACCTGCACACGGAAATAACACCAAATGAGACCAGAAGGCATGGCAGGATGTGCAGAATACCCCCGTTGAAAGAGCAGAGGTGCAATAGGTACTCTGAGAGAGAACTATCAACATCAGAGGCCCGAGACTGTTCAACACGCTTCCACTACACATAAGGGGCATAACTGGCCGACCCCTCACAGTGTTCAAGAGAGAACTGGATAAACACCTCCAAAGGATACCTGATCAACCAGGCTGTGATTCATACTGTCAGGCTGTGCGAGCAGCCAGCCGCGTCCAACAGCCTGGTTGACCAGACGACCAACCGGGAGGCCTGGTCGGAGACCGGGCCGCAGGGCTGTTGATCCCGGAAGCTACACAAGGTAGAGGGAGAGAGGCGAGAAGGGAGGGGGTGTGGAGGGAGGGAGGGAGGTGAGAAGGGAGGTGAGGAGGGAGGGGGTGAGGAGGGAGGAGAGGGGGGATGGGGAGGGGATGGGGAGGGAGGGAGGGAGGGAGGGAAGGTCTACCTACCTTGTATCTCCTACCAGGCCTCCAGGTAGGTCGTCTGGTCAACCAGGCTGTTGGACGCTGCTGCTTGCAGCCTGACGTATGAATCACAGCCTGGTTGATCAGTTATTCTTTGGAGGTGTTTATCCAGTTCTCTCTTGAACACTGTGCGGGGTCGGCCAGTTATGCCCCTTATGTGTAGTGGAAGCGTGTTGAACAGTCTCGGGCCTCTGATGTTGATAGTTCTCTCTCAGAGTACCTGTTGCACCTCTGCTCTTCAACGGAGTTGGTGAGGAGGGAAGGTGATGAGGAAGAAAGGGGGGGGGGGGTAGCGGTGAGGGACGCACCTTTTACATACAAGGCTGCGTCTTTAACTCATAATCCTGGGGTACTTCACCCATACCTGCTTGATGGGGTTCTGGGAGTTCTTCTACTCCCCAAGCCCGACCCGAGGCCAGGCTTGACTTGTGTTTCCATTTCACTTTACGACACGTTTCGTAAGCCCAACATGTTAATTGACCCAGCCCCACATGACCCAGCCCCACATGACCCAGTCCCACATGACCCAGTCCCACATGACCCAGCCCCACATGACCCAGTCCCCACATGACCCAGTCCCCACATGACCCAGTCCCCACATGACCCAGTCCCCACATGACCCAGTCCCCACATGACCCAGCCCCACATGACCCAGCCCCACATGACCCAGTCCCCACATGACCCAGTCCCCACATGACCCAGTCCCCACATGACCCAGCCCCACATGGCCACCCAATATTGTGAATGTGTGGGCGACAACAACGTGAGCTCTGAGGCCAACATGAGCAAGCGTGATCACTGCGTGTTGACGTGTGAGCATCTTGTGGCACTATTGGTGCACAGCTCTGGGAATAGTCATGGCTCAGGCTTCAAACATTTGCACAACCACTCACGAAACCTCTACATCCTTCCTCAATCATGGCGGCTTTGTGTACATTTGTTAATATGTATACGAGCACCGAAG